AGACTCTTTTATTTCCTTCTAACTCTCCAGTAAGGAGAACGTATGAGGAGAAAGCCATGCTCAGGAAAGCTTACATTAAGTCGGATGACTGTTGTTGCTATGTACCACAGAGTCGGAACTGACTCACAGCACACCCTCCAGCAGGTTTTCAGAGGCTATAAGTAGCATAGGAGTTGACCATTTTTCTCCTGCAGAACAGCTGGTGGATTTGAACCATATACCTTTGGTATCTTTTGCTATGGGTTGTAGTCCACACAATGGCACATAACAACTACTACCACCAACCATATCTGGGTTGGCAGTACAACTCCTTATCAATAAGCCACCAGAGAATTAAGTACCTTTATTCATACAGTCTCTGATAAATAAATACCTGGTAGCATAGTGGTCTAAGAATTACACTGCTAGCCGATGGGTTATAGGTTCCAAGCCACCAACTGCTCTTTGAGGGAAAGACAAAACAGTTTGCTCTCATGAAGACTTACAACTCCAGAAACATTATGGGGCAGTCTTAAATTGCTTTATGAAGTCGCCTCGAGGTGGAATTCCATGACAGAGGGTTTTGTTCTTTTGGTTTTACTTTATAATAAACTGGCATGCCCCCATTAAGCACACACTTGGCATCTTCATGTTTGACAATTGGTCATGGATGAGAGGTGAGGACTATGATTTGACTGTCAAGAGCGGGCACTGGCTTTTGGAAGTGACAGTGCCTCAAAGATGCTGAAAGGGGTACAAACACATGACAAGGTCTTCTCTTCATCGAAGAAACCCAGCAGAGTCCTTCTGACCTAAAACAACGGCAGATCTGCTCGGTTCTGGCTCTTCGTTTCCCTCACGATGGCACGCTACCTCCTGGCACCTTTCTCGTGCTTTTGTTAATACCAACTTTTATAATCTTCTCCACTTGAGCTATCTTCCTTTCTTTGCAATTTTCACATCTGCTTTCAGGGCTTATCCATTCCCCGAGATTCTGGCAGTTTATACACACAGACAAAATGCGCTGAGCCTTTCCAGTTCCTATCTCATAAACAGTGTTTGCATTCCAGTATACCAGTATACGTTGGCATTCAACACAGCACTCTACCACTCCTTTCTTACTACTTTGGTTGTCTTTGGTTATCATTATTAAATATTTTGATAAAATATTCTACGGACGAATCCTCATCAACACGGGGGAGTTAGAACTGAATTTTAAATTCTCATAGACTTCAGACTTTCTGAACCAAGGATACAAGGTAACTCCTAAAACTAATGACACTCTGAAATAATCTTAAAAACATAAAAGGAAAAAAATACCTTCTGACGTTCTTCCCAAAATAATAGTGCTGTTTAACTAGTAAAAAATGTTCACCTTGAGCACTGAAGTTCTATCTAGAATTATCTATATGGAATCAAACTGACACTAACAATTTGAAAGATTAGACTGGAATATTAGCAGGCAGTGAGTTTATGTTAATGGGGAGAAAACTCAGAGAAGGAGGACAAGGAAAGCTGCATAACTAAATAATGTAATCAATGTAATTAAATTGTACATGTAGAAACAGTTGAACTGGTTTACATTTTAACAACAAAAGACTGTAAATTAAAGGTACTTATATGTGAGACACCACTGGACCAATCGGTAGCATTAGGATGGATGGCGAAGAGATTGAGACTGTTCACAGGTTCAGTTTGCTCGGCTCCACGGTCAACACTCTTGGCACCAGCAGCCAGGAAATCAAAAAACGTATTGCAATGGGAAAGTCTGCTGTTAGGGAACTCTCTAAAGTACTCAAGAGCAACGGTGTCTCTCTGGAGACTAAGGTGCACCTGATACAGGCCATGATTTTTGCAATCACTTGTTATGCATCAGAGAGTTGAACAATGACTAGGGAGGATAGAAGGAAAATTGACGCCTTTGAGCTGTGGTGCTGGAGAAGAGTATTGAATGTACCATGGACTGCCAAGAAAACAAACAGATTCATCCTAGAGAGGGTTAAACCAGGCTACTCCTTGGAGGCAAGGATTCTGGGGTTTCGTCTGGGGCTACTTTGGACATGTTGTAAGGAGAGACAGGTCTTTAGAGAGGGACATCATGCTGGGTAGAGTAGAGGGACAGCGCAGGAGGGGAGGACCCTCTATGAGGTGGATTGATTCAGTGACTGGGGTAATCGGGATGGGTGTGTCAGAGGCAATGTGATTGGCACAGGATAGAGTAGGGTTTAGGGCTGTTGTACATAGGGTGGCTATGAGTTGCAAACAACTGGACGGCACATAACAACAACAACATTGTTGTTGTAGTTGTTGTTAAGTGCTATAGAGTTGGAGATGACCTATAGAGACCCTATGAACAGAAGTCTTGAACACAAAACTTTGACCTTTTCTCCAAGTTCATAGAGTTTCTGGAGGCAAGCTTTTCTTTTGAAAGTAGATGCCACTTGTGCTTCATTCAAGAGATTTACAAAAACCAGGCTCAAGGGCCATAGGCCCTAGGGCCCAAAAAGCCTTTTTAAATAGAAGGCCAAATCCAATCAGCTCTCACCCTATTGCAAACAAAAGCCACACCCTAGTCTCAACCTTAAACCAGAAACCACACCTTTGCAGAATCTGGCTGTTCTGCTCATCTTCCCATCCTGAAAATAGCCCCAGACTGGCAGCCCAAAGCCTTTTAAAATATGAGGCCAAATCCAATCAGCTCATACCCTTGGTGCCACTGAGTACAAATCACAGAGACCCTACAAACAATAAGATCTGCACCCTGACCTATCCTGTGCCATTCTCATCCATCATCCATCTGGTTGAGGGTCTTCTGAAAATGGGTAAAGTAAGAGTAATAGGATTGTCGTGGGTCTTATCGTATTGTTGTTATGTACCATCAAGTCACCTGCAACTCACAGTGAACAGCAGCTCTGAAGCCTGCCCTGTTCTGAACCAGTCTCACTGATTCCATCACATCTACCCCTATTGCCCCAGTTACTGTATCAATCCATCTCATCTGGGGTAATGTAAAAGATTTAGAACAGTATACAGCATATACTTAAGCATTTAATAAGCAATGGGTAATAATTTTAGTCATAGCAGTGGTACACTGAAGAATGAAACACTTTAAAAATGATTGATACACTTAAAAAAGGAGTCCAAGGAAAATAAAAAGATTAAGTTCTTGGTTATTGATCAAAAAGTTGCTGGATGGGGTCTACTCAGGTGCATCAAAAGAAAAGAATTGGTGATCTGTTTTCAAAGGTTCATTTCTCTCTCATCCACTGATATCATGTTAGAACTGACTCATAATTGACCACTGCATTTCTGAGGGTATAAAGATAGGTAGTACAGGCTTGCCCATTTTCTCCCTTGAATCAAACTGCAAGGGAGGTGTGGTCTTGGGTTCACAGTGCAATCCTGTATTGATTATGTCACTATGTTGTTATGTGCCACTGAGTCAGCTGCAACTCATAGCGACTCTATGTACAATAGCGCTGAACTCTGCTCTATCCTGAGCCAGTCTCTCCATCTCTAACACATCTACCCCCACTACCCCAGTCACTGAGCCAATCCATCTCATCTGGGGTCTTCCTCTCCTGAGCTGTCCCCCTACCCTTCCAAGCATGTTATTTATCCTTCTCCAAGGACTAGTCCTTCCTGGCCACATGCCCAAAATATGTCTGTTGGAGCTTCAAGATTCTTGTCTCCAAGGAGCAGCTTGGTTTCATCCTCTCCAGGATAAACCTGTTTGTTCTTCTAGCAGCCCATGTATGGTCAATACTCTTCTCCAACACCACAACTCAAAGGCATCAATTCTCCTCTCAATGAGTGACAGCCACTGAAAACTCCTGAAGCACCCTTCTACTCTGAAACACACAAGGTTACCATAAGTTGCAATCAACTTAATGCAACTGGTTTCATACTAGTAAAACTTATCATAATCACTAAATGAGTCCTCAAGCTGGGATTTCCTAGAACCAATGGCAGCCAGAATTTCTTTCAGATTTGAGCCTTCCACCTTTAGATCAAACACAGAATGTCTAGTTGAGTTAGAACTTCAGAGACACAACAAGTACCCTTTTTTAGCTTAATTATATCTCAGATATTGCAAAGTAGAAAACTGGTAGAAGCAACATCAGGTTGAATAAGAATGCTGGTTTTGCCTCTTTAAGAAAAAGTCTACGTATCTCACACATTTCTCTTTGGGCTTTAAAGAACCTGTTCCTTCTTTATCACTTTTGTAAAAGATTTTTCAACCATGCAATTCCCTCTTACTGTCAGTACTGAGAAGTAAAATGAATATTTTAAACTACATATAAGAACACTGTTGTTAGCTGTTGTTAAGTCAGCAGTTGGGCATTGCTGTTGTTACCAGCCCTGACTGAAGGTGACTATGTGTGTTACAGAGTGAAACTATTCAACAGTGTTTTTATTATGGAAGCAGTTTGCCAGACCTTTCTTCTGCAGAACCATTATGTGGGTCTGAACTGCTGTTTTCTAAATTGCAGCTGGCTACAAACAGCTTGTGCTACCCAGCTCCTTAAATACTGAAATATACCCTCTATATGTCACACAGACTCTGCCCATCACCTGACAGCACCTCTGCTTAGAAGGGTCCAAGCGACCCCTGCCAGAGTAACCACTTAGCAGGTCCTCTAAGTATATGTACTTCCTTTTCCATCCAACTTGATCTAAACAGAACAAACCATTAGAAAGTACTAGCTTTAACGAATTTGCTTTGAATACTTATAGCTTACAAAGCCACTGGCAAAATTTCCCATGTCAGCAGGGGTTTGTTTGGATTACATTAGAACTGGTGGTTTAAACACTCTAAAGGGTTTCTCAAAGGAGGGTGGACTCTTTGAAGATAGATTTGCATATTGGTAAACAGATATGCTTCTATAGAGCATAAAGTCACCTCTGTATTAGGTTGTGAGTAAACAGATTTTCTTTTACAGGAAGTGGTCAAGTTCATGCTCTCAGTTCTAGTACTCAGTGATCCAAGAACAACAAATTGGGGAGCACAGCCGACTTACCCCTCAGCACAGATTTGAGGTTCAGCTTGGCCTGGCGGTGCAGGTCCTCCACACAGGGAGGCCTTGTGGTGGGAAGGAACACGTTCTCCTGCTGGTGCCATGGGGCAGTGTAGTGGACCGTCCATCTGCTCTCCTCATCGAGATTGGAAACCGCTGGAGAAAGACAGGATGGATACATTGAGATGTCAAATGAAGTTCATTGGCTCCAAACGTCCTACATCAAGATGCTGGGTGTCTCACTTTAAGCCTGGATCTAAGCTCACCACCTTTATGGTTCAACTTTCCCACAAGCAATAGAGAGGCTCATAAGGTGAACAGTAACAGAAAAGTTACTCACTCCTTAGAACAATTAATCCTACAACATCAAAAAGGCAGGGCTATCCTGGAAGAAAGCTCAGAAGCAAGGAGAGGCTAGAAGGTTGAATGGAAATGAGAACCACATGGAGGATGTAGGGTGAGTATTATTATAACATGGATATTGGCATGTCCATATTAGATGTATTGACATAGCCATATTATATAATGGGGACTGTAATTGATTTCAAGAAATAAAGTTGTTATGAACGACCGACTGGAAAACCAATGTGCTCTGAAAATTGTCACTTAAAGTACATTAAAAATTTGGGGGAAAAATGAAAGATGCTGACTTAGGGTCCAGTAGATTCATGGGCAAGGGCCAACAAAGAGGAACCAAAACCCACCATTATCAAGTTAGAATAAAGATGCCTGAAGGAGAACTGGTGCCTGTGAGCTGTGGTGTTACAGAAGAGTACTAATGACTACCCCATGGACTGTCAAAAGAATGAACGGATATGTCTTGGAAGACAGTGAAGCCAATTGCCCCTTGGAGGCAAGAATGACAAAGTTTTGTCTCACATACTTTGGGCATGTTATTAGAAGAGGCTATTCCTTGAAAAGGAACATAATGCTTGGAAAGGTGGAGGGTTGGTAGAAGAGAGGACTCTTAATGAGATAAGACTGCAGAGATTGCACCAACCAGCTCAAGTATGCCAGAAATGTTGAGGCCGGCACAGGATAGGCCAGAGTTCAGATCTGGTGTTCATAGGGTCGCTATGAGTTGTACTCAATTCAATGTCAACTAACAACAACACTGAGTCAGAACAGTGACATTGGGAGACAGTACCAATGCCCTATCGGGTTTCCAAAGCGGCCATCTTTACAGAAGCAGAGAGCACCTCTTTTCTTTCAGAGCAGCTGGTGGGTTTGCACTGCTGATCGTTTGGATAGAAGCCAAGCAGCAATTAACCTCTGCACCACCAGGTTTCCCCAGAAAGGGAAAAGAGAGTAAACTCTGAATGAGGTTGAATCCGAGACTCCAGCTGTTCCTCAAAAAGTATTCTGTCTTGAAATGAAACACTGTTCTGTGTTACGCCGTTTTGATAGAACTGTTTGCTCTTTTAACATCTTCCTCAAATCCTAGGTCCTCCCTAGACACCAATGTTACAACATGACCTACAAAACTGATAAGACCACTAATTCTGACTTCACCACAACAGTTAACTATAATTTGATCATGGAAGGAGATAGTAAGACTGTCCCGACAGAAACAAATTACTTAATAGGAGGTTAAGACTAAATCTTATTTCTCTGAGGTATTATTTTTAAATATAACTGTCATAAATACAATTTTTTTTCATAAAACTAAGCAAGAGAATTCAATTGGGTGCATGTAAACAGCATATTTAACTGAAATGGAAATCAATTTGTGCTATAATGTTTCCACTGCATTTCTGGTTTTCAGGAAACACTTTGATATTAAGATATACTTTGTTTAAGAAAGCAACCCCAATCCAATTGATGACTACCAACAAAAGCCACTTTCATTTGTCTCCAGCACATGAGATCAGACCATTAAAGTGAAAAATGAACACAACATAATCCCTTCTAGTCGTCCTGTGATATCCTTAGAGCTTGTGATGACCCTTCATCTCTATTTTTCCTAAGAGCTCAGCCAATTGGGGCCCTCACGAGCCCCAAACAAAGCCAGAGGCGCCAACATAAATTCATCAATGACTTTTAAAACCCTGTCTATACACAAACACTTTAACACAGATAGAGGAGAAGCTGCAAAGAATCAGAAAAATCACTTGTGCTAAGACATCCACTTGGGAAGACAAGCCCTAGGAAGTCTGAAAACCGGGAGACAAAGAGTTGTGAGTAACACACAAGGTGACCCCAGAACCCCAGTACCAGCCTATCTTACCCTATAGAGAGCACTAGAAAAACAACTTCTATAACTAACACGTACCTGGAAAGGAACCACAAAAGCTCTTCTCCGTGGAAGGTAAGCAAACATGCATGCGCGCACACCCCCCCTCCCCCATCTCTTGAAGCATATTTTAAATCAACAGAACATACCACATGGTGTAGCTATGGGGACTACTCTGAAGACCATACTAATTAACATGCAAAGCCCTCCTTGTTGCTGTTAAGTGCCGGTGAGTCAAGTACGACTCAGCGACACTCTGAACAAAAGATCTAAACCCTGTTCTAGAACTAATGTCACTCCTCTAAAGCCACAGGCTCATGGAGAGTTCGTCTGTGGTCTGGCCATGGAACCTTCTCTGAAGATCCCTTTCTCAGCTCCCTGTGAACACACAAGCTACAGGCCAGCTCTCACATCTAGACCATCTTTTCTGCAGCTTCCAAACTCCCTGCACCCCTGAAGCTTGGTCTGCAGATAATTCACTGCTTTGCTAATCCCATCTTCTCCATGAACTAACTGCTAAATGGGAAAATCTACTCAGGACTAAACACCCATTTCAAAAGAGAAGTCCCATGTGCTTTCTGCTTTGGATGTCTGACAAAAAAAAGATGTGTGAATCACGCACCCAACACTTCAAGTGATCCCTTGTTGAACACCTGCTTTGCACAGTGAATGCGGCCATCAATCTTAATCCCTATCAGCCACAAAACCCTGACTTGTCTCTCGTGTATGCTTCCGGAGCTCTGAGCACACACTCTGCTCCCCTCCCCCACACCAAGTGCATCCAGGGTTAATTACAATGTTTTGCACTGACGTCCATTTCTTTTCCAGATTTAATTAGCACACTGCATAGTGGGAAAATATTGAAAATGGAAACTCTTCCTAGTTGCCAGCTTCAAATCAGATTCAAGTAATGGCATCTGAGTCTGTGCAATCGCACCATCAAGCCCAGTTGTACGGTTACCAACTGGCTCCTCTGAAACCCCAGTTGTCTCTGAGCTGGTGTGTCTCCCCCCTCGCCAGGGCTGATTCCAATCAATCCACTCAGACAGGAGCTGCAGAAATGGGCCCCCTGGCTGCTCTCTGTGGTTCTCCCCAAAGCTTCCATCAGTGCCCCCACCCCTACACACATTCAGCCTGTTACAATCCCTGGACCAGAGGGTAAAATGAAATAAGGCGGCAGCTCTCTTAGAAGCAAATCCTTGTACTGGTCAAAGTTACATTTTCAAAGGGTGGAGGAAGTACTTGGCTTGAAGAAATTTAAGCCAATAATCACAAGCTGCAGCCTGCACTTGACAACAATCACTGACCAGTCTAGACAGTTTGCCCTGGAGCTGTTAACTACTTCACAGGCTACTTCACAGAAGGCACAGGGGAGATTTACAGGCTTGGCCCCACCAGAAATACGTGCACCAAGGGAAACAATGCTAATGCTAAGTTTTTCCCTCCTTTCCAAAGGACTTCCCCTCCCTCAGAAGCATAAAAGACATGACTTCACTTAAAAGCCCAAACATAAATAAGGGGTACTGAGACGACATAGTATAGCATTCTGTGTTACCAAGGGCTGAGTCGACAGAATAATCTAACACAGAACAGAGTTCAACCCACAATGACAGAGGCTCAATTAGTACGTGAAAATGACACACCTGGCAGGTACAAAGAGAAAAGGAATAACTTACTTTTCCTCTTGAAAAGTTTAATGAAAGACTTGATCTTTGCGTTAACGAAGACCACCATTTTTCCAGGTCGCCTACATAGAGTTGCCGAAGTTTAAATCCCACGGGAGGCACAGTCCAGCGGGCAGGTGGCAGGTCGCTTGCTTCCGCTCCAGACTCTAACCACTTTCCTCTGCTCTCATATCCTTAGGCACCCGCCCAGGCTGATGTAACTCCGAGGTTGGGTTTATTGTCAGGCAGTTACAAACCATTAACTGTCCTTGAACCTGAAAAGCTCCCAGTGAAACTTAATCTTTAAGGCTGTAAGCAGCCAGTTACAACGTGCACAGGAAGAAAGGAAAAAAGTCAATTGCAGCTCTTATTTGCCCTATAGCTGCACCAGGCTTTCAAAGCCTCAGAGCCCATTCATTAGTTTTCTCGTCCACAGGTCGGAAGTTATTCCTCTCCGGGGTTCACAAAAGGTGGTCCAGATTTTCCACTATTGAAGTCAGGGGGGAAAAAAAGACTGCGTTCCCCATTTTCATGGGGCCCCTATGAACAGACAGACCCTTTTGCCGGAGCCGGGAAGTCTGCAGGTAATTCCAAGTGGATTCTTTGGCTCTCCAGTTAATTCAGGGTGCACGGGATTTGAACTGATTTGAGAGGAAGAAAGAGCCAAACTATTGTTCCTGACCACGCCCCCAGGCTCAGCCTGGCTATGGAGGAGGGGTTTACAAGCAGTAAAACTTTACAATAGCATCACCATGGAGCTGCAGAGGCGGGGCTGGTCTGCATCTCCCCGCAAATCCAGTTCCCTGTCTTCTTGCCTGAGAATCAATATCCTACTTGTTCCTACGTGAGAGCTCATTTGCATCTCGCTGTCCCGCTCTTAGAAAGGGTAGTGTGGGTGAAAAGAACCGTGTTCCCAAAGAAGAAAATTAGTTAAACCATCTTAATTATTTTAATCTCCAGCTTAAATTTAATTATCACCTAAGCACCTTGTTTTAAAAATTGCCACCATCACTCCACCACAGACACGCACATTCTTTGAGCTGTTTTCGAATGTAGAATACACTGTCCTGACTTCTGGTTCTTTGCCTGCTTGTTGTCACCATGGAAGAAATCCAGAGAGGTATGGAAGAGAAAGAAATGGAACTATTTGGAAAGTAAACTCCAGATCAAGGGACAGAGACAGAAAGGGAAGGACTCCAGACCAGCAAATCAGGTGAAAAGGGACAAAGGAAAGAATGCTCTCGTATCTCACTCCAATGCCCCTTCACAGAAACTGACTACTTCTTATTGTACACAGTTTATAACTGAACGGCAAACATAATAATCCACTAACTCAAAACATTTTGTTTCTAACAAAAGCTCTTAGTCAAAGAATAAAATTTCTAGGAAAGGATTCCTCCAGATGAATGCTTACAATGATTTTGCCCTAATTAGTTTTTGTTTCCCTTGTAACTTATTTTTTAACAACAACCACAAAGGCCAAGTAAAAGAAAACAGTCAACTAAATCCAGTTGTTGTTGTTGTTATGTGCCATCCAGTCACTTGCGACGCTAAGTACAAAAGCCCTAAACCCTGCTCTATCCTGTGCCAATCTTACTGTCTGTGACACACCTTCCTCTCTTGTGCTGTCCTTCCACAATCCCTAACATGATGTCCCTCTCCAAGGCCCCTCCTTGTAACATGTCCAAAGTACGCCAGACGAAGCTTCAGAATCTTTGTCTCCAAGGAGCAGCCCGGTTTCACCCTCTCCAGGACGAACCTGTTTGTTCTCCTAGCAGTCCATGATTTACAATGGTAAATTTATGGTATAATGTACAGAGAAATAGAAAAAACCCTAGTGTAACTAGATATGTTTATGATGACTAGACAGGACTGGAATTGGGCAGTCTGGACCAGCCTGAAGGGATCAATCAGGAAGCTGCTCTGAAAAAAGGAGTAAAAGCAGGCTGGAGAGACCTGGGCATGGGCGGGGCTGTTGCTGGGTGCCATGGAGTTGGAACTGACCTGCAGCTGACTCACCAGTGGGTTTTCAGAGATAATTAATCACACACAGTTCATCCATCACATGGGAAGAGACTGTTTGTCTTTCTCCCTCAAAGCAGCTGGTGGATTCAAACTTCCTGCCTTTAAGATTACAGTGCAGCTTCTTGCCCCTCAAACACCAGAGGTGGGGAGTGGTTGTTGTGAACCACTGAGTGGGAGCCCATCCTTTTCCTGCAGAGTAGCTGGTGGATTCGAGCCACCCACCTTAGGGAATGCATTGCAGCTTCTTGCTACTAGGCCATCAGAGCTCCCTCACAGGCAGGGTAGTCCCCCCCTGAAAGTCTTTGGGATTCTCCCAAGGAGCCCAATGCCTAAAGTAAACCAATCTCCACTGAACTAATTAGAAGGCTGCTGTCTGATTCAAAGTGAGCCCAGGAAAACAGTACCAGCAAGACTCAGATACAAAAGGCCACCTCCGATCAGTAGACCCAGAAATGCGGATTTCAAGAGAATCACAATTCACTCACTTGTTCATTGTCATCTAGCCAGAATTGCCTCAGAGCTGACCCTCCTCTTTCTAAGGCTGCAAATCACACAGAAGATTGCTCAGTTTTCTTCCTCAGAACAAGTCCTCGATTTGAACTACCAGTTAAGGCCGATCTTTCCGTTAACAGCAAAACTCTTCTAGGGAACACACAACTAGAGCTCCCTTAGAAAAGGACAATAGTTTCTCAAAACAAACAGAAAATGAACAGAGAATGTACTTCATATTTGAACATGTTCCCAGTCTGTGCTCTTTCAGTCTATGCATAGTCTTGTTTGTATTTGCTGTTGTTAGGGGCTGTTGAGTCCGACTCACTGCGATCCAATGAACAATAGCTCTGAACCCCGTCCTATCCTATACCAACCTCAATATCTCTGACACACTTGAGAACCCACTGCTGCCGTTACTGTGACAATCCTCTTCAATAACTTGGAGAGGTCCCTGCTTGCAGACTTTTCCAGTGCAATATGTCTCCTGATGTCCTACTGAGTGTACTGATTGTGGATCCAAGAAAGATATAGTCATTGACTGTTTCAATCTTTTCTTCACCTCTCATGATGTTGCCCTCTTGGTTCAGTGGTGAGAAATTTTGTTTTCTTGACATGGAGATTCAATCCATATTGTCTGATCTTCAGCAGCAAGTCTTCACCTCTAGCATGCAAGGCTGTGTCATCTGCATAACACAGGTTGTTGATCTCAAGTTTTGTTTAAAAGTCATTACATTGTTAGATGGCAAATGAGAAGTGACTAAACACGAAAGTCAGATTACACAGCTGGGATTTAGTGGGTGGAGAGGTAGCCAGGATACGGTATTAAATAGGAACCAGCCATCCTGAGTCAACAGATGCCACGGAAAGAGCACAACTGGAATAAACACTGCAACGACTGATGGTAGTAAAAGAAAAATTCGAGACAGACGACTCCTACCGACTCATTTTACAGAGTCAGGTCTCCTTTAAAGAGCCAATGTGTCTCGTCAGGAAGTCGAACACATTTCTCTTCCACCAGGATTGATCAGAGAAATTATCGACCAGTTTTCAGACAATTAACTGTGCTACAAATCATCTGGTCTCTGAGAGAAGCAAAAGGTTAACAGTCTCAGTTACTAATGAAAAGGTCAGAGGTTTGGGTCCACACAGTCACCCTGGAAGAAAGACCTGGGGGATCTCTGTCCCAACTTCTATTTAAACCAAGAGACAGACATTCACAGAACAGGGGGCTAGCTACAACATAGTTTAAAGTTATGGAAGATAAGCAGTCAGAAAGTCAAAAGACAAATGGCACCAGGAAAATCTAAATCTGCTGTTAGGGACTTCTTCAGAGTACTGAGAAGCAACGATGTCAGTCTAGAGACTAAGGAGTGCCTGAACCAGGCCATGGTCTTTGCAATTACTTGCTATGCAGGAGAGAGCTGGACAATGATTAAAGATGACAAAAGAATCGATGCCTTTGAGTTGTGGTGCTGGAGAAGAGTACTGAGCACACCATGGACTGCCAAGAAACAAATAGGTCTGTCTTGTAGATGGTGAAACCAAGTTTCTCCCTGGAGGCTAGGATTTTGAAGCTCTGTCTCACATACTTTGGGCATGTGGCCAGGAGGAACCAGTCCTTAGAGAAGGACATCATGCTCGGAAGGGTGGAGGGACAGCGCAGGAGAGGAAGACCTGATAGGATGGATTGATACAGTAACTGGGGCAATGGGGGTTGATGTGTCAGAGCCAGTGAGACTGGCTCAGAAGAGGGTAGGCTCCAGAGCTGTGGTACATAGGGTTGCTGTGAGTCACAGGCGATTCGATGGCACATAACAACAATTACGTGCATCAGAATCTGCTCCTATTACCAGACTTCTTAAGTCTGTATGCTAAGCAATAATCTGAGAAACCTGGATATGTGAAGGAGAATGCAGCATCAGGATTGGAGGAAGGATCATTAAGATCCTGTGATAGGCAGATGACACAGCTTCTGCCTTAGTTTGGATTATACATCAATGTAAAGAAAACAAAAACATTAAAACCGAACCCAAACCATCATGATAAACAGAGAAAAGACTGAAGCTGTCAAAGATTCCATTTTACTTCGATACAAAGTCAATTCTCATGACAACAACAATGAAGAAGTAAAAAAAAGAGAACTACACAGTAATGGAAAGTGGTGAGTAATCTAAGGAGTGTTCCAGCTGCACTTACTCCAAGATGTATCTGTTTGTTCTTTTGGCAATACAAGTCCTGCTCTTCCAACACACAACTCAAAGGCACCAATTCTCCTCTAGTCATCCTTACTCACTGTACAGCACTCAGATGCACAGGAGGTAACTGGAGAGACCATGGTTAGAATCAGGTGCACCTTAGTCCTTAAACTGACATCACTGCTCTTCAGGATTTTGGCGAGTTATAGTCTTGAAAAACTATGGCGTAGTTATACTCTGGACAATTTAAAACAGCCAGGAGTCTGAGGCAAGGCACCTAACAATAACAAAGACAAAACGCTGGGTTGTGAAAAATGTGAAGTGCTTGACTACTGAGGAAAAAGCTGATGGTTCAAAC